TTCCCTATTGGAATGCCTTTTATTTCCTTCTATTGTCTTATTGCATTGGCTAGGACTTCCAATACTATACTGAATAGGAGCAGAGAAAGTGGGCAGCCTTGTTTTGTACCAATTTTTAGTGGAAAATCTTTGAGCTTTTCCCCATTCACTATAATGTTTGCTGTAGGTTTTTTATAAATGGCTTTTATTATGCTGAGAAACAGTCCTTCTATGCCAATTTTACTAAGAGTCTTGATCATAAAGGCATGTTGTACTTTTTTTAATGCTTTTTCTACATCAATTGAAATGCTCATATAGTTTTTATCTTTCTTTCTGTTAATATGGTGTATTACATTTATGGTTTTGCATATATTGAACCACCCTTGCATCCCTGGAATAAAAAGCCTACCTGGTCATGATGAATAACCTTTTTTATATGCTGTTGAATACAGTTAACAAGTATCGGTTGAGAATTTTTGCATCTATATTCATCAAGTTTTTTGTCGTATCCTTATCCATTTTGGGAATGATAATGGAGGCTTCATAGAATGAATTTGGAAGGATTCCTTCCTTTTGGATCTCTAGAAACAGTGTGAGTAGAACAGGGGTTACCTCTTCTTCAAAAGTTCTGTAAAATTCGGCAGTGAAGCCATCAGGGCCTGGACTTTTCTTTGTTGGGAGGTTATTTATTACTAATTCAATCACATTGCTTGTTATTAGTCTATTCAGGCTTTCTATGTTCTCCTGAGTCAATCCTGGTAAATTATATGTGTCCAGGAATTTGTCCATCTCATCCACGTTTTCTTCTTCACTGGCGTAGAGTCGCTCATAGTATCCTCTAATGATGTTCTGTATTTCTGTTATGTCTTCTGTTATGTCTTCTATAATGTCACCTGATTCGTTGCAGATTTGACTTATCTGGTTCCTTTCTCTCTTCTTAGTCTGGCTAATGATGTATCAATCTTGTTTCTTTTTTCAAAGAACCAGCTTTTGCTTTCATTTATTTTCTGTATAGTTCATTTATATTCTATTTCATTTATTTCTGCTCAAGTCTTTATTACTTCTTTTTTTCTGGCATTTTTTAGATTTCTCTGTTGTTCTTTTTCCAATTCCCTGAGGCATGATGTCAGGTAGTCCTTTTGCCATCTTTCCTTCTTTTTCTTGTGTGCACTAATTACTATGAACTTCCCTCTTATGACTGCTTTTGCAGTGTCCCATAAATTAGGGAAACTTGTGTACTCATTATCACTTGTTTCCATGAATCTTTTCATTTCCGTCTTAATCTCTTCTGTAGTCATTAAGTCATTCAGAAGTAGGTTATTTAGTTTCCATGTATTTGTGTATTTTTGATGTTTTTTCCTGAGATTAATACCAAGTTTAATTCTATCATGGTTGGAGAAGATGTTGGATATAGTTTATATGCCTTTGAATCTGTAAAGGCTGGTTTTGTGCCTTATCATGTGGTCAATCTTTGAGAAAGTACCATGTGAGGCTGAGAAAAATGTGTATTTTGTGTTTTTTGGGTGGAAAGTCCTATAGATGTCTACCAAGTCCATCTGGTTTTTTAATCTCTTTGCTTGTTTTTTTTTTTCTCATTGACCTGTCTAAAGGAGATAATGGTTTGTTGAGATTTTCAACAATTATTGTGTTACAGTCTATCTCTCCCTTTTAGATCTAGCAGTCTTTCCTTTTCATATTTGGGTGCTCCTGAGTTTGGTGCATAGATTATTTATAAGCGTTGTATCTTCTCGGTGAATTAGCCCTTTTACTAGTATATAACACCCTTCTTTGTCTTTTCTTATGGTTTTTGTCATAAAGCCTATTTTGTCGGAAATCAGTAGAGCGACCCCCGCTTTTTTTTGATTTCCGTTTGCATGGAATACCTTTTTCCAATCCTTCACTTTTAGTCTATGGGATGGGGAATGGTCATGCCACAATCCCTTCTTCATTTCTCCTTTTGAAAATCTGGGCATGCACGCATGTTCCTGGAGTGTTTTTCAAGCTATTGGTCTGGAGCGCAAACCATGAAGTCACCTATCTAGCCAACCCAATCACTATGCCACAGGCTGGCCCAGCTTTATCTTTTAAAGTATTTCTCTTTGAAGAATAGGGACCACAAATGAGAAGGAAATTCTGTTATAAGACAATCTGGTGCCACGTAAACTTGCTAAGTCAGGTCTGTGACCTTGCTCCCCACATAAGTTATACACTACAAGAGCAAGCTTAACTGCTCAGAAAATACCAGGGACATAATCAGATCTAGAAATATATTACTACAGAGGAAGGTAATTTGAAATTCAAAGAACATCTGGGTACTCACTCAGGAATTTTTTCAGATCGCTGTTCTATTTGTTCAATAAGAGTCTGCAGAATTAAAAAAAATGCAACTGTTTGAACTATGGTTTTCATTAATTTGTTATTATAATATTGGGTCATCAAAAATGTCATGACATATTTTTCTTTTCTTCTATGCAAAAATGATCATGACTTTTCTGACATTCCAGTAGTATTGCATGCTCACTTAAGAAAAACTATTACAAATATAAAAAGGTTAAAAATTATTAAAAATCAACTACTATACTAAAAATTATTGAGTTAATATATCCATATATTTCTTTTAGTTTTTTTTTGAAAAAAAAAATTTTTTTTTTTTTTTTGCTATAGGGCGCATGCGCTCACCAGAAGGACAGAGAGAGAGACAGAAAGCAAGAAATCCCCCCTGGGGGGATGGCCACGTCGCAATCTCTTCTCCTCCATTCTCCTCTTAGGATCTTAGGCACACAAGCACACACGCCCGGTGTGAATTTAAGCCACTGGGTCCAGGGCTCAAACCGCGGTCGGTTACATGGGAGATAAGCAAAATAGCCATTACGCCAACTGCTGGTCCCACTTTCAGGTTTTTTTAACACATAGACAGTTACCATATTTTTCTTTTCAAACAAAACAGAAATTATACTACATATTCAGGTTTATAATCTTTTTAAAAATTAATGTTACTCCCTAATCATTTTCCTATCATTGAATAATTTTTAATATTAGATGAAAATATAGGGGAAAAAAAAACCTTAGCATGGTACCTAGTACACACTCAATTAACCATTAATATAAATATCATTCAAAACATTATATTAAATGGTTATATAATATCCCACTGGGTAGGTATCGCATTAGTCTTCCGTTCTTCTACTTTTAGACATCTAGGCTGGTCTCCAAAGAAAAAGGGCCCACTGGCTAAGAGCCCAGAGCAAAACTAAAGGGCTTGACTGCCAGCCCGGGCAAGCTTGTTCCCTTCTGAGATTCCACTTACTATCCTATAAAAATTGGTGTAATATCAATAGTAGTACCCACCTCTCAGGTGGGGATCCAAACACTGGGTTAAATGAGATATGGGAGGGCCAGGGAGTGGCACAGTGGTAAAGGTGCCAGACTCCTAGAGGGCTAACCGCGATTCGAGTCCTGGACCTGACTGCTTGCAACATGCTGGGCACATGTGCATGCATGCTCAAAATCTCAGGAGCATAATGGAGGAGAAAGGACTATGGCATGACCATTCCCCCAAAGGATGATTTCTAGCTTTTCTCTCTCTGTCTCTCAAGGGAGTTTATGTCCCGCATAGCAAAAGTCTGTCTTAAAAAAAAAAAAAAAAGAGAGAGAGAAAGATGTATTTTCACAGGCTTCTGATCTGCTCTCCCAAAATGTTTTTTGGTTGTTTTTTGTTAATTTGCTATAGGGCACAAGTACTCACCAAAGAGAGAAGGAAAGTGAGAAATCACTTCCCCATAGGGGATGGTCATGCCACGATTCCATCTCCTCCATCTCTCCTCTCAGAATTTTGAGCACACGCACACACATGCACCTGGACATGTTTTCTAGCCACCGGATCCAGGACTCAAACTGCACAGTTGGCCATGTGGGACCCAGTCACCTTAACCACCACACCACTAGCTGGCCTCCAAAATGTTGGAAAGCAATCCATTTACATCTGCAGTAGCACTGCCTGTCTCACCAAATCCTCAAAAGCACTGGCCATTATAACTTAATCTATCAATTTCTGACAAAAAAAAAAAATGCCGCTTAACCTTAACTTGCACACATTTCCCACGTTTCCTGTGAGCCATCTGGTCACTTAATATTAGCTATTCGTCTTTCTTTCACTGATTTATAAACATTCATAATATTAATTTTAACCTTCTTACTTATCTGTTGTAATCATTCTCCCCAGTTTCTGCCTTTGCTCTTTCTGTTTAAAATTCAGATTAAATTTTTACATCCTTAACCTTTTCTCTGCAATTCTCAAGTGAAAAGTTTACTTACTTTTTTAATAAAGTTTTCAAATACTTAGCAAATCTCCCCAGTATCATATAGAAAACTCCAACCCTTCCCTTCCTTTTTCATTTGTGGTGTTTCTTTCTTTCTGTTTAAATTTGCCAGAGGATATGTACACTTGCCAGAAAGAGACAGAATGAGGGAGAGAAAGTGAGAAAGTGAGAAAGTAGCCCTGTCAGGGGATGAACAAACCACCATTCCTTCTTTATTTTTCCCTCCTTTTCAGAATTTGAGCATAAACACATGTACACATGCATGTTTCTCAAGCCGCTGGGTCCAGGGTGCAAGCTATGCAGTCGGCCATGTACAATCCAGTCCTAACCACCATGCCACCAGGGGTTCCCACAATGTTTTTTAATATAGTAAGTTCTAGAACTTTCCATTCCAATAAACAAAAAATAAAATTTTTGATAACACTATTTTTCAAAATTATCTTGCTTAGTCTTTCCTATTTACCAGATAGTTTACAGTCATACAAAAAGAAATCTCACTGAAATTTGACTGGGAGTACATCCCAACCAATAAATTACATTGGGAGAAAATGACATTTTAAAAATTAAGTCTCTGGGGTCAAACCTGTAGCCTAGTGGTTAAAAGAGCCAGATTCCATATGGCTGACCATAGTTCAAGTGCCAGGCCTATCAGCTTGAAAAACATACCAGGCATGTATGCATGTATGCCCCAAATCCTGAATGGAAAAATGGAGAAGAGACTGTGGCCACACTCAGTTGAAATGGTGTTTCTCTACTCGCTCCCTCCAGCGCTCCCTCCAACACTGCTACCCCCCCATCCCCCAACTCTTTGTCCCTTTGTTTCTTTTTGGTGAGTACACACGCCCTCTGGCAATTTAAAAAAAAAATTTTTAATAAAAAGTAATTCTCCAGCCTGCCCAAAATCCCGAAAGGAGAATGGATTAAGGCATGGACTTCCTCGGGGTGGGGGTGGAGGGTCTCACTTTCTGTCTGTCTCTCTCTGTCTCTCTAGCGAGCACACATCTCCTATAGCAAAAATCTCTCTAAAAATAACTTTTTTAAAAGATACTTCATTAGTTTTCTACTTTTCCTGGGTTAGCATGACATTTAACATCCCTTGAGAAGTGGTCTTTATCATCTTCCTGTCTTCTTTCCCATTATACCCTACTAATGTCCCGTGTTCTAGTGATAATAAGTCACTGGAGTTCTCCCCAAATGCATGTCTTTTATGTCACCACAACCTTCCCTACTGATGCTGTTCCCTCCGCATAAAATACCCATATCAGGCCACGGTAGCTAAGGCAGTTGGATCCTACATGGCTGGCTGTATAGTTTGAGTCCCAGCCCAGTGGCTGAGAGCAATACCAGGCACATGTGAGTGCATGACCAAAATCCCAAAAGAATGGAGAAGGGACTGCAGTGGGGTCATCTACCCTGGGGGTGCTTTCTCCCTCTCCCTCTCTCTCTCTTTCTCTCTCTCTCTCTCTGGCAAGCACATATGTCCTATGGAAAAACCGTAAAAAAAAGAAATAAGATACCCATATCAATTCCTTCAAGTCTTCTATAAATCAAAGATTTTTAAGTTCAACTAACACTTCAACTTGAAACCTTCCTTGAGCATCACAGGAAAAGCTCGATGTTTCCTACTCTCCAGTCTTCAAGCACCTAGGACACATCGCTAAGAGACACTGCTACAATGTGAAGAATAATGCCTACGCTTCATTCACATTCATTTCCCTGGTATAAGCAAAGAACCCAATAAACAACAGTACTTCAAAAGGGCTGGCTGAATATATATCACAGCAACATCCTATTTATGTCAATAGACTTACTCTGACTTTGGGAGCAGCAGCTCGGAATTTCACATAAAATAAGGTAAAGGCATTGTCTGCATTAGGTACAGAAGAAGGATCCTTTAAAAAAAAAGGGGGGGGGAGAAGAATAAAGAAGGAAAATGATTAGTAAACAAATATTTACTAAGAAAACATGCCACTAACCACTGCATATGACCACTGCTTGGCCTCCACAAAAACCAAAAGCTGAAAGAAAAACCTCTAAGACAGATTAAATACCATTACTGTTATGAATGAGAAGTAATTAGGTGGAACTGTTTTTCTCCCCTTTATAGTTAAAATTTCCCCTATGTTGATTGAATTTTGGTGGTAAATAGACTTGAATTTAGATTCACACTCTTGTCACTTACTAAGTACAAGACATGGGCCAAATTACTTAACCTCTTTGAGGTTCGGTACACCATTAAATGACCATAATGTAGAGGTTTGGGGCAGATAAAGAATAAAGCACTCGCTGGGCCGGCAGGTGGCATGCTGGTTAAGGGCACTGCACTCCCACATGCCCGACCACGTTCCAAGTCCTGGACTTGGCAGCTTATTTTCTCACTTTTCCTCTCTCTTTGTCCCTTTCTGGTCAAATGTAAATGAATGAATGAATAAATAAATAAATAAGGTTAAAACAACAACAACAAAAAAAATGCTTACCTCTTAAAAAAAAAAAAAAAAGAATAAAGCACTAGCACATAGTAGGGACTAGTACTTACAAGGCATCAGTTCCCTAAATGTACTATAAATTTTACAGAAAAATAAAATAAATCAAATAAATAGTATGCTATAACATTTAAGAGAAATGTGAACAGTAAAATGAAACTCAAAAATGACTGGCTTTGGGCGCTGGCAGGTGGTGTGGTGGTTAAGGTGCTAGACTCAAATCCCAGACTTGGCAGCTTGTTTTCTCACTTTCCCTTTCCCTCCCTCTCTCTCTCTGTCTCTGGTCAGAAATTTTATGTATTTATTTTTTTTTTTATTAGTGACTTAAGGGCCAGTCAGGTAATATAGTCCTTAAGACAGCTGGATACCACATGGCCAAATGCATGGTTCAAGTACCATGCCAGACACATGTCCCAAGAGGAGAATGGAGAATAAGATAATCCATGTTCTTAAAAAATAAAACATACTGGTGCCAGCAAGTGGCATGGTGGTTAAGGCGCTAGACTTCCACATGGGCAGCACAGTCCTGGACCTGGAGGCTTGAAAATCATGCTGGGCACATAAATACGTGAGCCTAAAGTCCTGAAAGGAGAATGCAGGAGAAGGGAATGCAAAGTGGCTAATCACCAGGGCATGATTTCTCACTTTCCCTCTCTCTTTGTCTCTCTATGGCAAGTGTATGCGCCCTATGATAAAAAACAAAAACAATAAAATAAAATAACCTAAACACAGTTTATGGCTTTATTTTCCTATAATAGAAATATGCTCAGTGATCATTCTACCTAATTCTACTCTTATTTTCTAATAATGCCTCTTAATTTTCCACCAGAATCTACTAATATCTATAAATAATCTTTCTTTATTGATTATTTTTCAATATAAGCTTCATGAGGGCAGGGACCTTTCTAGCTTCTTTTTGATTCTATACAGTTTCTAATACAATCCCAAAGGTACTGAATAAAAATATGATTCCTAATTGTGGAAAAGTAACCCAAAAATAAACAAGAAAAATGCATATAGGAAAATTTAAATTATCCAGCATATCCCACTGTTCAGACAGAACATTTATCATTTTGATATCCTTCCAATATTTTCATGAAGAAGATAGGAAAAACAATGTTTTACCTGACAAATCATTTGTATCTTATTTTACTATTATTACATAGTACAAAATTTGAAAATAAAGACTATAATGGACATCTAAACCATGACTATTTTCCCAATTATAAGTAGATTTGTAGCACATATTCTTATTTTTTTAAAGTAAAATTTTTTGAATTATAAAATACTAATCTCAGACAAAATTTATAAATGGTAAATGAATCAAAATTAAAAACATCCTATTACTGAAACCAGTGAACTCACCCTTTTTAGTAACTGACTTGTGAGGGTCTGTAGTGTGTTCACAGTATATGTCTTCATGAGGTGTAATGCTTTAGAGAGACACTGTTTAAACTTCAGTAAATATATAGGATAATCTTTAAAATTGGGCTGCAAAAGAAAGAGAAAGACTTATAAAAAAGAAACAAGCACTGATAAAAAATAAAGCTCATACTAAAAACAAGGAGTCCTTTACGTAAAGCAATATATAAAGGTCTAAAAAAAAAGGGTTTCATGCTGACCATAAGCTCCATGAAGACAAGTGACTTAGTCACAGCAAATCCCCAGTGCTTGGCACAAAACAAAGGCTCAATAAATATTTGCAGTTGTTAGCAATACATATTTCAGTATCCCACAGACTCCAAGGCTCATATGGAAGACCCAACCAGGAGTTAGGGTAAATAACACAGCAATAAATCCTTGAGAAATAGAGGACAACTAAATCAAAGGGTTTGGACCGTTCTTTGCCCTCAGGTAACACTTTGTGTTACCAAAGAAATATCTAGCGCTTCAGTTCAACAACTTCAAATGACTAATCCTTTTAGGTGGGATAAAGCTGAGTCAGCCAACACTCTCTACTCCACAGATCCTGTAAGGAGGACCAAAAATTTACTATAGTTTTTCTTCAGCGTGTTACAAATACATATTTTCCCCTTCAGAAAAAATAATTACTTTATATCACATAAAGTTATATGATAAGCATGTTAAGATTTCTTAAAAACATAAAAATATGACTTACGTGAGATGAGATATATGTTATACAATCATCTAACTTGGCCAGCATAGGTATAAATCCTTCACTATTCACAGACAACGTAGGGGAATTCAATTTCTTAAAGGGAAAAAAAAAATCAACTTTAATTCACAGAAAACATATAGGTAAAAGTTGGAAAAAATCAGGAGAAGCATGTTTCCCTTTAGGATATAACACAGTTGTGCTAAAGTATAACAATAAAGAAAGGATAAATAAAAAAGAATGCTGACGTCATTCCACTTATTCCTATTAAGTTTTAATGGGGCTCCACATCAATTAGTAAATATTTTGTATTACTCCACTATACAATGTTGTATTGAAATAATATATCAACATCTGGATTTTCCGTTTCTTAGTACTTTGCAATATGGCTATTTTTTCTACGTTCAAACAACCAATTTTCTCAAGATTAAAGGATTTACTAGCAGTCTTACTACACATACATGATAAATGTTTAAAATCAGGCTATAAAGAAAAGATTTACAAAGATTTATAAAGAGAAGATAAACATTGACAAAGAACAAGCTTTTAATGAAAACCAAGGTGTCCTTTAGGTAAAGTAATATATAAAGTTCAGAAAAGGGTTTTACACAGACCATAAGTTCCATAAAGACAAATAGTGTAAATGACTGAGTCACAGCAAATCCTCCGTGCCTGACACGAAATAAGGGCCCAGTAAATACTGGGTCCTCGGAAAGTCATGACACATTTTTACATAGAAAAACACCCGAAAAAGTCATGACTTTTCCAACAACTCAATATTTGCAGCTGTTAGCAAATTTTCAGTATCCCATAGACTTCAAGGCTACTGTTAAGGGTTTAGGAAAAGGAGTTATGGTAAATAAAAAGGCAATATAGTATAACTTGTAGCCACACTGTTTAGTAGTCATATATGAAAATAAAATATTACCAGCCAATTACTTATTATCTTGACAAAAATATAGCCTGGTAATGAGCTACTTCCCATTGTTTCCATGTTAACTGCTACTTAGCTTTACTTCATTTCTTTAAATAATTATTTATTTAATTTTATTTATCTTTTTTTTCCCCAGTTTGCTACAGGGCACATGGCTCACCAGAAAGAGAGAGAAAGCCAGCCGCCTAGTCTGAGACTCGAGCCACAGTCAACCACATGGGAGTTCAGTGCCTTAACCACCATGCTACCTGCTGGTCCCAACTTCTAGCTTTACTTCTCTGTCTTTAGTAAACGTCTATGTCTTTAGTAAACTATATGATTAATTTAATGGTTTTTAAGGGAGATTTTTTGCTATAGGGCACATGTGCTCAGTTGAGAGACAGAGATAGAAAGACAAAGTGAAAAATCACCCCCACCACAGGGGATGACAAGGCCACAATCCTTTCTCCTCCATTCTCCTCTCGGGATTTTGGGCGTGCACACACATGCGCCAGCATGAGCTTCTAGCTACTGGGTCCAGGACTCAAGCCGCAAGAGACTGCGTGGGAGCCCAGTAACATAACTATGATGCCATCTGCTGGTCCCAATCATTTTAATAACCAAGTAATTTATACTTGGTTATCATAGTTAATTTATGAGTCAGAAAAACCGAAATACAATTCATACAGCAGTTTTCTCAGGACTACTACTTTGGGATACAAATATACTTTATGAAGACTATATTTTTATTCACCAAATTTAAGATTAATTTAAATCAGCATTTTTGACTACCATTACAGTAGCACAATCACGGACAGATTTAAAATGGAATATGCTTTTTTCTTAATTGCCAAAGGGCACATACATACACCAGAGAGAAAGAGAAAGACATACAGAGAGGGAATGAGAGAAAACACCCTGAAATGGGACAGAGTCACACCACAACTCTTTTTTTTGGAGAGGTTTTTGTAATTGGGCGAGTGCACTTGCCAGAAAGATAGAGAGAGACAGAGAGACAGAAAACAAGAAATCACCCCCCAGAGGGGATGGCCATGCTGCAATCCCTTCTCCTCCATTCTCCTCTTGGGATCCTGGCCACGCTCACACATGCGCCCGGCCTGAGTTAAGCCACCCGGTCCAGGACTCGAACCGCGGTCGACTACATGGGAGTCCAGCAACATAGCCATTGCGCTAACTGCTGGTCCTGCCACAATTCTTTCTCTTCCAGGTCACACCACAATTCCTGCTCCTTCATTTCTCTATCCTATTGGGATTTGGGGCACACACACACATGCCCCCTGAGTGTTTCGCAAGCTACCAAGCTGAGATTCTGTTATAACTACGCCGTTAGCCACGTGGGATCTGGACCCCTTACACACTAGGCCATAGAGCTAGACCTAAAATTGAATATTCTTATAATCTTCACAACTAAGGTACTGTAAGAGGTAATCATCAAACAGATTTTAATAATACGATTTTCAAAATACTATTTAAAATGAGGACAGCATGTGTCACAGTGACTAAGGCACTGGATTACCCCATGACCAACCTCAGTTCAAGTCCCAGGCTCCATGGCTTGAAACTCATGGCTGGAACAACTGTGTGCATGTCCAAAATTCCAAGAAGAGAATGGAGAAGGGATTGCAGTGTGGCCATCACCCCCAGGGAGTGATTTCTCACTTTGGGTTTCTATGTCTCTCTGGTAAAAATCTCTTTTAAAAAATTGCTACTTAAATCACATCTGAAAAATCTGAACTGGTTTTGGATCTCCACTAGCAACAACCAAAATATCTATCAATAAGCAAATTAAGTTAAAATATCATTCAAGGCAGTTTATATAAAGATCATACAAAGAAAGAGAAATGTAAGATAGAAACCACTAACTTTACAAAAAGTAAAATAGAAAAAATGCTTACTGTGTTGATAGTTTCCAATTCATTGAAATAGGAAAGCTTTTGTTGAATGTTTTCAGCCAGATCAACAAGTTCCGACTTGCATTTTTTTGAAGAAGAAAAATGAATTGTGATAAGAATATGAAAATCAACACTATAATCTCGAAATTCACTCAATAGATTTATATTAAACACACAGCTTTGTAAAAGACATAAAATTTCAGAATTCTCAAACATTTCTGTAATCATAAACTAAAATAGGCAAGTTATTACAGTAAATGTCATTTGACCTTTTTATAAAATAATGATCACCTTTTTTTAATGCACAAAACTACACATAGGTAAAGTTCTGAGACAAATATAGAAAATTAAATGCTCTTTCTCTAAGTCATAAATTTAATTATAACTTCGATCACCTGATCTTTCTATAAATGCCACCATTAGTACAAATCACTGTGCTTATCTGAAAAGTGGCAGTAATAAAGAGTGGAGAGGGCCAACTAATACACCCTCTGTACCCTGAATGTGTACTGAGACCTAACTGCTCAACACATAGGAAGGCTTGTCTTTGCTGCTATGTGCACTAATTTATAATAAAAGCAGTCTGTCAAAGTAACAATCTACCTGCTTAGCACACAGCCTCACACAGAGCAGTGTTCAACATCTAGTTAGAGAAATTTAGAAAATTACACTGTATTCATCTGTTTAAAAATAAAACGCTAAATATAATCACTGAGTCTCTTTCCTACTTCAAATTACCTGTTCTTTTAGGAGCTGTTCACAGGCTTCATGTAGGGTTCCTGTCTTATTGGACACAAAAAGATACTGTTTCTGCAATGACTCCAGATGCTGAAGAGCACTGTTTACATCATTCAAAATAGCATCACACTGCTCCTGAAACCCAGACAAGTAATCCCTCATCTGTCTAGAAAACAGAACCAAAAGGGGATTGGCAATAATATTTTCCCCCAGTGTGCACAGTCAATAAGCAACAGTCTCATTTTTCCCCAAATGGCTTGAATTTCAAAAGTCTGACTTACTTACAAAAAATCCAGAAATGCACCAAAAACTATGTCATAAACTTCAATACTTAAAAAGGCAAAGTATTAATACTATAAGCAACAAAAGGAAATGTCCTTGAAGCCACAACCTGGCTATTCACATGTATAGCAAAATCAATGGCTCAATTTTCAAAGGAGGCTACCCAAGCCATCGGAGGGCATCAAGTAAGGTCAATCCTTCAGATCACGCCCACCTTGGAGAGAGGGTGTGGTGACCACGGAGAGGTTAGACTTAGAATGTAAAGGTCCAATTCCAGCTCTGCCCAAGTCTGTATGACACTGAGCAAGTAACTTAATATTTCCAGACCTCAGTTTCCTCATCTGTGAAATGGGAATAGTAACGTCTTTCCTCACAGAACTAGTGCGAAGATTTAATACAGTCTTCAATAAATGTTGCCAAATGTGAATGCTCAACCCACAGTCCCCAAATCAGCTAGAACAGTACTTTTGTTATTGTCCCCATGCTATCAATATACACAAATGATACAGTTACACCTCATCCAGATGGCCATCCTTAAAGTCTCTTGGGGATGTTTCTCCCTCTGAAGAAAGGCAACAAACATCTCCAGAGAATTCCTGTAAAGCCACTTAAGTACAATCCTTTCTGGAGTTACTTATGAAACAATGTCTGTCCCTCCCAACCTATGAATTATAGTGTAACTCTTTTTTTGTTTTCTTTTTTAGTCACACTTTTAATACCAGGTATAAGGACCTAAATCCTCTTCCTGGCTTTTCTTTTAAGAAAATGTGACTCTTCAACAAGTTCTCCTGGTATCATCATTTTGTTTAAAGACACAGACTATGAAATGCTTCAGATGACTGGGACCTAAAAATTGGGCTATCCAACAAATGCAAGAGTCACACATACCTGTATTTAGTTCCTTCATCCTGATCCATCTGTGTTTGCAGCTTTGCAAACCACGAAAAAAACTGGAAAAAATAAAGGGTATTATATCATCGACGAAACTAAAAAAGACCAAATGAAAAGGGGCTACACACTAAACAAGTCAGAAAGACAGACATTATCTAAACCTCATTGCTTAGGGGGGTTCACACATAAATAATTAGTTTTAAGACAAAAGAAGATAATTTAATTACAAAATTAAATGCAAAGGATATTAAAAACAATGGCTATTTTCTAGTGCCAACAGGTAGCATGGTGATTAGGGTAGAACATCCTATATGGCCAACTGCCTGGTTTGAGTCCCAAGCCCAGTGACATGAAAAACACATGTGTGGGACCAGAAGATGGTGTAATGGTTATGTCACTAGACTCCCATTTAGTCAATCATGGTTCAAGTCCTGTACCTGGCAGCTTAAAACACACCAGGAGCATGTCCATGCATACCCAAAATCCTGAGAAGAAAATGAAGGAGAAAGGACTGTGGTATGGCTTTTCCCCCGGGAGGTGATTTCTCACTTTATGTCTGTCTCTGTCTCTCCAGTGAGCGCACACACCCTATAGCAAAAATCTCTCTTAAAAAAAAAAAGAAAGAAAGAAAAATGCATGTGCATACATGCCCCCAAAATCCCAACAGGAGAATGGAGGAAAGGAATTGTGGCGTGGCCATCCCCCGTTGGGCTGATTTCATACTTTCTGTCTCTCTCTGTCTTGTCTCTGGCAAACACATGCACTCCATGGCAAAAAAAAAAAAAAAAAGAGGCTATTGTCAAAGTCAAATAAAAAACAATATTAAAGATAAAATAATTTCTTCCCATCTGAGTTGATAATATAGGGCTTCAGGTAAATATCAATACTACTTTATCTAGTAAGAACTTCTACAAGTTAAGCTCAGAGGGGCCAGCAGATGATGTAGCTGTTACATCAATGGACTCCCACAAGGCCAACAGCAGTTTGAGTCTCAGACTTGTTGGCGTAAAAACCACACTCAGAGGGGACCAGCAGTTGGCGTAATGGCTCTATCATTGGACTCCCACGTAGTCGACCACGGTTTGAGTCCTGGACCTGGTGGCTTAAACTCGGGCCATGCATGTGTGCTTGTATGTGCATGTGTGCGTGCATGATCAAGATCCCAAGAAGAGAATGGAGGAGAAGGGATTGTGGCGTAGCCATCCCCCCCAGGGGAGGGGTATTTCCCGCTTTCTCTCTTTCTCTCTCTCTCTCTCTCTCTCTCTCTCTCTCTTTCTGGTGAGCACACGCACCCTATAGCAAAAACCTCTCCCGCCCCCCCAAATAAAAAGAGTATGATGCAGGCTTGCCATGTACCTTGGCTAGCATTTCATGAGCATTTACTAAGTGCTTGTCACACACAGCATTTTCACACATTATCTTATTTAATTCTCACCAAAATCGTATAAATAAATAAATATCTTTATTTTACAGAGTAAGGAACTAAAGACCTAAGAAGGTCAGTAATTTGCCCAAGCTCACAAAGAAGCTCAGTGATGGAGGTGACTTTCACAGGCAGGTCAGCCTAACTCAGGAGCTGGAACTCTTAGTCACACTGCCTCTCTTGACTTACTATGTATGAAATTCATTACAGCTGCTTTATATTTTCCTTGGTAAATACCTCAGGCTTTGACTCTTAACAGGACAGAAAAAGGATACTAGGAAAGTGATGGAAGAAATTGCTATAAATTTAGATTTGCAATTAGGAATAACAACAGCAGCAAAAAATAAATAAATAAATAGAGAGAGAGATTACACAAACCAAATTATCAACAAATAACTACAAGAGTTCACCTAAAAAGAATATTTAGGTTTCTGGAAAAAGGAATATCATTAAGCAGAAAAGTATGTGTGTGTGTGTGTGTGTGTGTGTGTGTGTGTGCGTGTGCGTGTGTGTGTGTTTACACATGCAGGAACTAGAGGTAGGTTAACATAGGCATAACATACGGGGAGTCATAGGGCATAAAATATTGAAGCCTTAATAAATCTGATAATCGCTCAACATTTGAACTTGTGATATCCCATTTTATCTATATTGGATCATAAATGAACAACAGATTCATTTAAAACACTCAGGAAACAGCCACAACACGAAATCGAGAATGTTCTAAAAAGATTTGATGTTAACTATTGTGTCAAATGTTCAAAAGTTCTCGTTAGGACTTTATTAGCTCTGTTTTGAAACATGTAAAATAATCAAACATCCTTAGGAAAGACATTGCTATTTACCTGCTGTGCGGTTTCGATTCTTTCTTCTTCCATTCCTAAGGAACTGAAGCCCTTCCACAGAATGTCTTCAGCAGATTCAGGCACTACAGAAGCTGGTTCAACAGGCAGTGACTGGGAGGTTAAACTGCACAAGTCTTCGATTGGGAGCTTGAAAAAGAGAGCAACAAACATATTTAAATAACCCAAAAATTCTCCGACCTTAACTCAAGACTAGGTCTGTAGCTCAGTTGTTTTGAAAGAGAAAGGTATGTTTTCTGGCCGGCAAGCGGTGTGGTGGTTAAGGTGCTGGTTAAGACTTCCACATGGCCAGCCACAGTTTGAGTTCCAGACCTTGTGGCTTGCTTTCTCACTTTCCCTCTCTCTGTCTCTCTCTGGTCAAATTAAATAATAATAAGTATAATTAAATAAGTAATTCCTTTTTTAAAAAATCACCTGATTAATAAATGCTATGTAATACTAACAGTTTTAACTAGGCTCTCTCTGGTTAAATGTTAGTCTCAAAATACAAACATGCACCAATGTTCCACCATTAATACAGTATGATTTTTGAGTTAGTATTCTAAAAATGGCGCTAAGTCTGTGCAAATCCACACACATTTTGTCACTAGAACCTTTTGTGAAATGCCACTAGACAAAAGAAACATCTGGGTGCTGCTAAAAGCAGCTAGCCCGCCCTAGTATCCAACACAAAACCCTGACCAACAGAATTAACAAACCCCATCCAAGAATTAACTACCAATCAACAGTACTGCCTCCTATGATTTCCACCCAGTGGCACACCTCATCCACACCTTGCTGACAAATTTTGAAATTACATTTGGATAGTAAGGTAGTTCAGTTTATCATCAGTTTTAGAAGAACCTCACAGATAATGCCTAGCTTGGGGGGGGAGGGTCAAAAGTGCATAAAATATTAAAGCCTTAATAAATAAAGAATCCAGAAGATTTTAGACCTACAGTACTTTCTAGTTCTCCACTACTAAAAATATCAACAGGCCCAGTGTACATTTACCTATAGTCATGCAAACACACTGTTTTTAGACTTAGAAGAAAAGGGAAGTAGATACTGAAGAAAGTAACAGGACCTAATTACTTTTTTTTTTCTTTTTTTTTGGAGAGGTTTTTGCTATAGGGCGCATGCACTCGCCAGACAGACAGAGAGAGACAGAGAGGCAGAAAGCAAGAAATCACCCCCCAGGGGGGATGGCCACGCCGCAATCCCTTCTCCTCCATTCTCCTCTCGGGATCTTGGGCACGCACGCACACATGCCCAGCGTGAGTTTAAGCCACCGGGTCCGGGACTCGAACCGCTGTCGACTACATGGGAGTCCAGCGACATAGCCATTACACTAACGGCTGGTCCCAGGGCCTAATTATTTAAGTTCAAGTCTAGTTTTCAACCCTTAGTTAACAATACTTAAGAGCCACCTATCTATTAACAAGACAAGACCTGACTCAAGGCCTTAGGAAATTGCTTTCCTGTGTATTTTCCTAAACAAAGATGTTTCATCTGAAGACAGTATTTTCTTCTCAAAGCTTGATGCAAAATGCACCACCACTAATTTAGAAATACAATACTTTAACTGTAGATGTTCTTGCGTATGGGCTTAAATGGGAGTATCTTTAGAGCAGGTAAAGTACCATATAGCACAGCCTGGTTTTAATCCTGCTCTTGATCACTTACAAGCATTGTGACATTGAGCAAATTACTTAGTGCTTTGAATCTCAATTTCTTCTCCTATCTGACACAAATACAGTACCTGCACGGTAAGACTACTGTACAGAATAAGTACGAAAACACAGGTGTGGAGAAGCCATCTTATTAGAATGCTGGGAAGCTGTAGGTGAAGTGTTCACAAAGGTTCCTGATCTGCTTTCTCCCCACCACGAATCTGACTCATGAGACAGTGTCCTGGGTGTAGGTAAATACAAAGGAACTTCCAAAAATTTGTAGAGAAATGTAAATTGCAGTATGAGTTTATCTTGGTGCAAAACTTTTTGAAATTCTTGCATAATTTTTTCATAATATGCATTTTCCATGTACTTTTTGAATATGCCATGTATGTCTTATTAAGGGCATCATGTAAACTCTTCCTGAATGGATATATATATATATATATATATATATCCTGAACTTCATAAAAGGACTGTGGCCCAGCAAGAATTCAGTTTCTCAAATCCAGTTACCAGCAACAGTGTGCTGCCACTAGCGGTTCTTGAGGCCAGAGGAACCCGCGCTAAGTTCCATGGCATCTGCACCTGCTCTGTGGAACCAGCCCCATTACCAACAAGAAGTGGTCCTTTGGGAAGAGGAGGTCCCCCAAAAGAGACAATGCTGCCTATAACGCACTTAGCACAAGACTTGCTGCATAGGAAACACTCAGTAGATTTGAGCTATTAATTATTTACTACTATTCCTATTTATTAGAAACAAGATAAATTTATAAATCTGAATCTTAACTGCTTATTGTGAACAGAATTAATCACTAAGCTATCTTTATAAAATTATATGTTATTAGCAGTAAATTTTAGTTTTATATAAACTGATCATGATAAAATTCAATCTCACAATTCTATCACCACCATTTGGAGATCAAAAAGAGATAGGAGGGTTCATAGATCAGGCTCAGATTTTTTTTTTTTTTTTGGAGAGGTTTTTGCTATAGGGCACGTGTGCTCACCAGAAAGAGAGAGACAGAGAGACAGAAAGCGAGGAATCACCCCCAGGGGGGACGGCCACGCCACAATCCCTTCTCCTCCATTCTCCTCTCGGGATCCTGGGCACATACGCACACACATCAGGCATGAGTTTAAGCCACTGGGTCCGGGACTCAAACCACAGTCAGCTATATGGGAGTGACAAAGCCATTACACCAACTGCTGGTCCCAAAGGAGGCTCAGATTTGAAAAATACATCAGAAAACAAAAAACTAGGCTAGAATGAAGAAAGCTAGAAAGAATGTTGCTTGAATCCTAATAATAAACAAAAATCAAATAGGGCCAGCCCCATTAGCTTAGTGGTTAAGAGAGCCCGATTTTAGATGGCTGACTGGCCCCACAGCTTGAGGAAAACACCAGGCACATGTGTTTATGTGCCCAAAATCCAACCAGATGGAGAAATAGAGAAGGGATTGCAATATAACCATGCCCTATTAAGGGGTGCTTTCTCTTCTCTTCTCTTCTCTCCTCCTCTCTCTTTCTCTTTCTCTCTCTCTCTCTCTCTCTCTCTCACACACACACACACACACACACACACACACACACACACAAGCCCAGGTGTCCTCTAGCAACTTTTTTTTTCTTTTTTTAGGTTTTTGCCATAGGATGCACGTATTTGCAGGAGAGAGACAGAGAGAAGGAAAGGGAGAAATCACCTCCCACCAGGATGGCCACCCTGCAATCCCTTCACCATCCTTCTGTCAGGACTTTGGGTACACGCACATACCCAGCATAATTTTCAAGCTGCTGGGTCGGGGGCTTAAATTGTGGTCAGCCAATGTAGGAGTCTAACACCTTAACCATCATGCCACCTACTGGCCCTTAAAAAAAATATGTTTTAAAGTCAAAAAGCCAAATAATCTACAAAATCATAACTATCCTTCAATCCGTCAGAGCTGAGGTTGCAGAGTAACCAAGCACTTTAAGATCAGCGGAAAACGTGCACCTCCAGGAAAAAGCTGCAAGCATTCTTCAAGCATTTACCAAATTTTTCAAACTTGGTAAAGACTAGAGGGTGAGCCCAGAACACCTGAAAGGCACAAGGGACACAAACCCCTGCTCACAGGGACTTCTGCACAGACCTCTCCTGGACACAGGTAAGCATGAGAACCATCCAGTGCAGCCTGAAGAGGGAGTGGCTGCTGCCCCAGCTGGCCCATCTCCCCAGTGAAACAAGCTCCTTAAGCCACTGAAAAAAGTAAGATAATAATCATCTTCATCGCGTTCCTAAGGCCTTGTACCACATAATCCTCCTACTGCTTTATATTCAGCTTTATTGAATGAAAACTGGATACTTGAGAAATCACTATAAATATTCCACACACAGCCTATAATCTAGATATTATAACGATTATTTGAATTTATGAAAGAGTATTCTATCCAATTACTAACTACTTTTCAATTATAAAAACTTTAAAAACTAGAAGCAAAAGGAGGCTTCCTGTTCCCCTGACCTCACTTTTTTTTTTTTT